ATGGCAAACATGGCCCCCTTCTTCGGTTGTCTTGGGATCCCCGGACGGCCCATGACTAGCAGGTTGATGTGGTTAGCACCCCCTAGTCTAGGACACCATTAGTAGCCCCTGAACTGGTCTTCAAGCCGAGGACATCGGTCGACTCCTTGGAGTCGTCGCTTCATCTTGGGTCTTCGGCTTCCCAGGCGAGTTCAACAAACTTGACATTCTTGCCTCCCGAATTAGTGTCAGTGCCGAGGATATTGGTTCCATGGTCTTCTACGCCGAAGTAGATGCCTTATGGGCGCTTCTTTTGAAGACCAATTGCGGGCCTTATATGGCAGTCTCTCGAATTCATCGCTCAACCGAGGTCCCACCATTGATACATCCGATCAGGAATCCTGAGTTTCACTTTAGTGGCATTATAATATCTTTCCTCAATCTGTGCATGCATGCTTGGCACGACACCTGGGAAACACGCGGATTTACCACTCCATGACTCAAGCGTTCCATCATCCCAAGACAGGGTTTTCCATATAAAGTGGAGGAAAAATACAAGAGCTTTTACATCCCTTCCACCTCCTCTTTTCCGTGTGGATCTTATCTTCTTACCTCCATCGTTGCTTCTAGATCTCGACACAATGTAGAACATCGCCAGCTCATCTACCTGCCCTGACGGCCCTCTCGACAGAGTCTGGAGGAGTTGTTTCGTTGCTCAAGGGAACCTGAACAGACTCGCTACCTCATGGTACCTTCCTGATCTAGAGTTTGCGTAGATTTGCCCATGGTTGGTTTCCCTGGACAGTGGCATTCTTAATGACAATTTCCTGATGCCACAAGATGATGAACAAGTATGTTTTGTTCTCTTCCTCCTCTAGCAAATAGGCTCCCCTATCTACCCCTTCCTTAGGGGCCTTCTAAAATTCTATGGGATTCAACTCCATCACCTCACACCCAACTCGATTCTTCACATAGCTGGGTTTGTCACTTTATGTGAGGCCTTCCTCGGCTGTGAGGCCCACTTTGATTTGTGGTGCAAATATTTCTGCCTGGTTCCTCGCATCTGAGAGGACAATATTTATTAGGTTGGAGGGGTCGAGGTGTGCATAATTGTTGGAGCTGGATATCTTGTTCGCACCCCCAAAGACGACAACGAGACATGACAGAGTGAATGGTGCAAATATTTCTTCTCCTTTGGCCGGTCGGTTCAATGTGAGCAGGCTAGTAGAGTGGTGGACGACGACTATGGTGGCAGACCAAGGTTGCATTTTTTCTGGGTAAACTCGGAATCTTGCCATATGGCTTGATCAGGTGGCGTCGACGTCCGTGCGTTGTTACCTTGTTGAAGGTGTTGGTTCAAAGATCTACTTCGGGGTGATATCCTTGGCTGACATCTGGTTAGGTCCGTCAATATCGACATGCGAGCAACAATTCTCTCTTGAAGGCACTGTGTTGGAGCATTGTGTTCTTCTTTTACTAACAATGTCGTGGTGATTTGATTTCAAGATGTTGCCAAGCATGTCTGTTGTTTTCCCCTGCGACATTTTTCAGAGGTATGCATGTGTAGTTATCGATGTTTTTCGTTTCCCTATATGATTATAGTGAGGTGTTTATTTGCAATCTGGATCGCCGCCGGTATGAAAAAAATGGATCTTGCGCTATAAATTATAAGTTTGCTTCCATGACAATATTTTAAAAATATTTAACAGGTAAAATTAACATCATATTTAGATTCCACACATTTTTCTAATAAAATTTCATATATAATATGTTGAAATAGAAGTTATGGTTTAGAAGATACAAATAATTTAGAAAATCATTTGGTCTGAGTCAAATATATTCCAAAATAATATTTAAAAATACTTAAAAGGTAAAAATAATCTCATATTCATATTCTACATATTTTTTAATCAAATTTCATATATGACATGTTCAAATCAGAGTTACGGTTTATAAGATATGGATGATTTTAAAAAGCATTTGTTTGACTTAAATATGATCCGTGGATGAATTACCTAAAACATCAGGGGGGTTCAAAAAATGTAAAATAACAGTTCGGGTGTGACTTAAACCGGATGGCGGGTTGATTTCAAGAAAAGACGAGGACTTTTGTGTAAAATACGAAAATAACGATTCGTTTTCACTTAAAACAGGATTACGTGTTGAATTCTCTGAAATAGAGGGACTTTTCTGGGTAAACTCGGAATCTTGCCATATGGCTTGATCAGGTGGCGTCGACGTCCGTGTGTTGTTACCTTGTTGAAGGTGTTGGTTCAAAGATCTACTTCGGGGTGATATCCTTGGCTGACATCTGGTTAGGTCCGTCAATATCGACATGCGAGCAACAATTCTCTCTTGAAGGCACTGTGTTGGAGCATTGTGTTCTTTTTTTTACTAACAATGTCGTGGTGATTTGATTTCAAGATGTTGCCAAGCATGTCCGATGTGGATGGCCTCAAGTTTTTTTTTTCGCTCTTTGTAAGCTGGATTTAGCATTATCGATAATAACTAAATAATATATGTCAGTGTGCATCATCTGATGTAGAGGCCGGGAAGTCTTTTCTTTTAAAAAAAATAATATAATTAAGAAAAAAGTGTAGTGTCGTAGACTAGTCACAATGAAAGTAACTTAACTAGTAACATCACACATTTCAATATAAGATTGCTTATGTGGCAGTTAATTAATGAAGAGAGAGGGGTTTGTGGTACCTTAGGTACTCTTTATGTAGTTCTAGGTCATCGATTTAAGAAATTAAATATGTGTTATATGTCATGAAAAGTATATCACTAGATTTCTATAATGATGTAGTTTCTAAATACATATTTTTTGTCACATATAATACATATTTAGATAGTTAAATCGTCAACCTAGAACTACGCGAATGACTTATTCACCAAGACGGAGGTAGTACCACTCATATGTTACTACCCATTATGGAGATAGTAACATAGACTAATAACATCGGCAAGTTACTATTCTATGTTACACTCCACTGTGAGCAGTCGTAGAGTAATGCCAACGCAGTTAAGTCCGTGCATGTGGCGGTTAAGCTAATTCCTGTACGACTGTGCATCCATAGTTAATCCCTTTGTCGCTTCGTACGTTTGTGTTGATAGAACAGTGCTTCGATTGATACGGGGTTTCTTTTCCCTTTTTTTTGCAAATTGCTTCGATTGATAATGTGCCCATGCTTCACCATCATTCATTCATCATGTACCAATGCAAATATGCTTTATTTGTTGCTAGCTGCTGCTAACTACTTGCGCTGCTGTTGCCGGTGAAATTAACTCCATGTTGACCCATTAGAACATAATTCTGCTTGGTGGTCCCATGTACGAGCTATCCACAGCTGGGGGAATCCTATTTTCAGACAAAAAAGGTTATTGTTGGCTCCCTGGAAAGAGCTGTAGACATAACTCTCCCTTGATTCGCAGCTCAATTCACTGACAGAGATCCAGATTATGTGAAATGGTTGAGTAGAAGGAGATATTTTGCTCATGGTCGCTAGCAAGCAAATATTTGCTCGTCAAACACTTTTTTTTTCTTTAATACTTATTTTTTTGAAAAACTTCTAATCTATTCATCTTTAATCATGGCAGTACAACAAACACCGAAAATAAAAATTACATTCTGTAGACCACCTAGCGACGACTACAAGCACTGAAGCGAGCTGAAGGCGCGCCGCCGTCATCACCCCTCCATCGTCGGAGTCGAGCACAACTTGTACAGTCGGAAAGTCGTCGTGCTAAGGCCCCATAGGATCAGCGCACCAGAACAGCAACCGTTGCAGATGAAGAATAACGTAGGTTGGAAAGATTCAGCCCGAAGACATACAAACGTAGACGAATAACGACGAGATCCGAGTAAATCCACCAAAAATAGATCCGCCGGAGACACACCTCCACATACCCACCAACGATGCTAAACGCACCGCCAGGACGGGGGCTAGGCAGGGAGACCTTTATTCCATCTTCAGGAAGCCGCCGCCCCTCTCTCCGGCCCTTGGCAGGATCCACCGCGCCTCCATGGCCCTGGGGCCACCGGAGACGAGGCGGACCTGCGGCGGCAGGAACCCTAGCTTTCTTTCTTGGAAGAGGAGGAGCGACTTCCTTTTAATATTTACTCCCTCCAAAAAAAATATAAAAGCGTTTAGATCACTAGAAAAATCTGACTATATATACTTTGTCACTTTCTTTAATACTTCCTTCGTAAAAAATATAAGAGCGTTTAAATCACTAGATAGAGTACTAAATTCAGAAGTCCCTAAAAATATCTGACTATATATACTTTGCCACATCAATAGATTCATTGCACTTTGTTTGACATGAAGTTTTGATCCGAGCAAGTCAAAGCAATCAATTGTATATGGAGTACTATATAGAACAAACAGCGGCAGCGTCCATGACATCTGCCCCGATTTGGAGGACTGACGATTTCAGAGATGGGTTACTTTTAGAACAAAAAAAGACATGTCAGAGATGGATAGACACCACACACCAGTACACCACTGCAAACTCCGGGACTCGTAAATTGACTAGTTATTATTACTAGGATTTCACAAGAATTATGTAAACGTGCTCTTGGAGATGCTTGACATAGAACCCTAATTGGCCCCAAACCATCAACTGACAGGACAATTGTTGCTAATCAAACAGCAACACATAATTTTTCCTTCAAAAACCAGCAGTACATCATAAAAAAACGGTGCCAGGCATGGCTTGATCCCTAATTGCCTTTTCATGAGAATGGGAGAAACCTGCCGTAAAGCTCCTACCATGTAAAGAGATAACAGATGTTTTCACCCGTTTTTACAACATAGTTTCACCGGCTCGCCAAGTCTACAAACACAAACATGACCCAGTTTTCCAACGCAAAAGGATCTATCTGGATGAGATAATCAGGAATATCATAAGGATCCATGGAACTGGTTCATCTCTTGGAGGTCACTCTACAGAGCAGCACCTCTGGTCGCATCCGGCAATCAACAAAATTTCAAGGGCAAACTGCTCGACGTAGAACATCATAGAATGGACGTGACGCGGACAGAGTGGTCTTCAGAACCAGTAACATAGATTGACCGCGTGGGGTGCCAGTCCACACTTGTTATAGGTGCAGTATGAGGAAGTGTCCTCAACCCTCTCTCATGGCCTTGCACCTGAAAGGGATATAGTGGACTGCTGTATTGGCATCTATCTACTTTAGCAAAACGAACTTAATTAGGGAGTGTGGACAATGTGGAAACCTGGTATATTGGAGCCCGAACCAAACCCGACGTAGCAAGAAGTCTCTTGCCATTAGAATCCAATGCTACCTCATGCATGCGTTTGTTAAAGCTCTCAGGGTTGCAAAACCTGGTGACAGAAGACAAATTAGGAGAAATCAGAAAGCAATGCTTCGCAGTTGCATAATACACCAACACAATATACCATGCTGTTCTGGCAAAATAAGAGTCCAATCAGGTAGAGCATTCGATAGTCTAGCAGTTCTCATGCCAAAAAGAAGTACGCCAGTAGTCCGTGCACACAAATTCAACTAGTCGGACTGTCTAAATCTAGCTTAATCGTACACAAATAACAATGTTCCTTTCAAATTTTCACCTAATATCAAGAAATCTAACGTGACATTAGATAATTCAGATATCAGAGGATGTGCGTTCACATGGGATAGCTCAAGATTGTTATGGGAAAAAAAAAACTTAATTGTCAATTCGATGCATCCTAGTAATTTTAAAATTATGTGCTATTACTGAGAGTTTCAAGTATGCATCTAAAACAAATATAGGAAAGGCCTCAAACCTGTGAATTGACAGACAGTTTCGTGTGCAAAGTGTGTGTGTGAAGTCTATATGCCACATGCGCCATACAAAAATGCAGGAGGAGATTAGCATAGAGATCTTGCTAGAAAAGTATTGTTACCTGAAACTAAATAGCGGATATAGCTAGATGAGAGCAACATATGTGAAAGAAATGAAGGGTTGAAGTACATTTTTATCAAACCAACACTAGCTGCCATTTGCAATTCAATGACGATTCACCAACTGCGAAATACTCTTACCTACTGCAATCTCTTGACCAAATAATCTGACCTTGATTGTGCAAGCTCCACTCAAATATCTAAAGATCATACAGTTAACATTAGATACAATACAACCACGCAAGCTAAGCCAAAGAATATGGGGTACATGTTTGTATACGATAATCAATTAATACAAGTACGAAGTCAAAGTTAACCTATAACAATGCTATAGTTGTTATTTTGCTTAAAGCTGATTAAGCATTGGAATTTAGAAGACTGCATAACTCACAAGGTCCAAAGGTACATACAATAACCATTGTGTTATCTGCTTGCATATATACATCAACAGAGTTGCATTTATGCACTAAAAGGGGCTATATACCTTTCCATCTGAGCCTAAACTGAAGATGCTTGTTTCAGCTGGCCCAAAAAGAACTGAGCTCACAGGGGAGTCATGGGCAGGCCATCCAGTGATTTGTAGACCAGCAGACATGTCTATGTGCAGTAAAGGAGTACTGTGCGCTCCAATAATCATAAAACACAAATAATATCTCAAAGAAACAACGTAACCAAGTTCTAGCTGTCCTCAAGCAATAAATGATATACATAATAAAAGTGGTAAAGGAATATTACACTAAAAGGATACCAAACATGTGAATCATTCCATCTGTTGCAGAGGCTGCCAAGATCTTCCCATTGTGATTGAAGCAAAGTGAAGTAATAGCAGGTGGATCCTCGCCAAGAGGGAGGACTGTCTTCAAATAGAAGAAATGGATATATAGATAACGAGAAGGTTACTGGCTAGATTCCTCAGCTAGGTTCAAGGTAAGGGGTTGAAAGAAAAAATCAGTACCAGAGGCTTCCATGTTTTCATATGCCATACTGTCAGGGAAGCAAATCCTGTTCTATCAAATATAGTTGATCCATGCCTGAAAATCAATTTAAAGCTGGAAATAAGACAATACAATTGACGGTACAATAAGACAATGGTATTTGAGAGCTACTACTTATAGTTCAAATTGATATGTGAAAACAGGACAAAACGCAGCTGTCAGAAACAGAAGTTTAGCAGTAACGCTTTTCTGTAGGAAAAAGAAGCTGCCATTTTGCAGTAACTGGCAACTGATTTCTTACGAAGCAAGAGATTTGAAGTTTACCGTCTCGATGCAGCTGCAGAGACAAACACGGGATCTACAGGGCTACACTTCAAATCAAGCACACTGCAAGAAATTGAAAAGCTTCATCAGCATAGATACAGTTGTGAGCCCAAAAGTAATAGGTGGTAACTTCTAACCTTGGGAAGTCCTTGGATGTACTGAGGTCACAAACAACTCTCTTTGCATCAGCATTCCAAGCTTTAATGCCTCCATTAGCTGTGCCTATGAGCAGCTATTGTCAAGAGAAATGGGTGATAAAACAAAAGTCTTAAAATATGTTCTTCAAAGGTGAAATGGTGTGGAAAAACCAATGTGGAAGAATTAAAATATACGATAGGCATACCAAGCGATCAGATCTGCATTCCCAAGAAAGTGCGCTGACTTCAGCCCCACAATATATAGTGGCATTTTTTGATGATGGTGTTGATGAGTCGTATGTCCAGATTCTTTATAAGAGTTTAAAAAATCAACAGGTCAAAATCTAGAAACTTCCAGTTAGGCAAAAAAATAAATCAGAATTAAGATAGCGCAGTTACCTCACTGTGCCATCAGTCGAAGAACTAGCAATATTTGATCCAGAAGCAGAAAATCGACAGCTACTTATTGAACTGTTATGGCCTAAAAATGTTTCCTGTTAGCAGGTTTAATTAGTGATATAGGAAACCACAAAGATGGAAGGTTACTAGGGATAAACTATAGCTTACCTGAAAATCCACCTTCACTTCAGGAAAGTCTTCCTCTGTCACCAAAATCTGCTCATTTTCTGCAACAAAAGAAACATATTATGCTTCAAGGTTTTCATATATAAGACAAATGTAGTATCCTAAATGGGCATCTACAGAACAAATACATTGAAGAACATCAAAATAGAAATATATGTTCGGTGAAGCATAAAAGTAATCCAAAGTATGGATATTAGAATGGTTTATGAGGAAGAAAGGTTATGTCCAGTGGGGGAAAAGGTTGACCAAAAATAATTAGTTACCTCACATAAACCAATGGTAAATAATCATACATATGCTTGAGAAAAACCAGAGTCTAAAAATATATGGTATGAAGAAAAAACTATAGCTAGTAAAAAGAGCCAACCTGCATTGCTCATCCGAGAAGAATCACACAATTTCTCAGCTCTTGATTTTGCTGAACTCAAAGTCTGTGAATTGACACCCTGTACAGTTGTACTTGAAGTTGAGGATTCTTCATAGACTCCTGAGAAAGCTTGTCCCCCAACGGAGGAACCAGCTGTAGTAATCTTGAGTAAATTCTTGTGTCCGGAATTAATACTATGATCATTCCTGTATTTACCAGTTATGAGATATTTAGCAGATACCCTTAGGAGCTTGAGATTCATAAAAACTCTAGCAGTCACATTCTACATCATGCTCTACCATCTACATTGATAAGATATGTAACCTAACACTCCCCCGTTCCAAAATTAAGGTGCATCAATTATCATGCAAGTCAAACGATTGTATGTTTGACCAAGATTACAGAATAAAATATCAACATCTCCAGTACCTAATATATAAAATATGAAAATACTTTTCATGATGGATCAAATGATATAAATCTGGTATGTAGATATTGATATATTTTTCCTAGAAATTTGGTCAAACATGCACACGTTTGACTTTTAAAAAAACTAATACACCTTATATTTTGAAACGCAGGGAGTAGTCTGAAGCTAAGAGCACTTGATGAACATAGTTTTCCTAGTTCTTTCCCATCTGTAAACCAGTTGTTCGTATGCAAAGTTGCAAACAGATGATAGCCTAATTACAGAAGGGCATGCCTCTGAAGATATATGAGCAATTTTGCAGTCCAAAGAGCATAGTTTTACCTTCTCAGCAGGGATAGTTCAACTTCCTTGACCTCTAACAATGCTTGCAGCTCTGACAATTTGTTATTCAGTTGCTTTATGTCACTCTTGAGGCACTTGATCATATTCTTTTCAGTGCTAATCTTCATAAGAGCTGGGATTCGTGGAAAACTTAAGGATAGAACAGTGTTTAAGCAAACCATAATGTTAGTTTGGCGGTCGACAAGAATGCGAGTAAATTATAAATCTGATAAGAAGTTTGTGTATTAGGAAAGATGAAAAGCATCCTGCTAACTTGAGCACAATTGAATGCGATTGCTGTAAAAGGATATGAGTACCATTGAATATCCCACTTAAGAAGTTCCGAAATGAAAGAACCAAAGTATCTGACCATTCTTTGGAAAAATACATACGGAACTGTGGATCCAAGCTTGGGTTCTTAATATATGGTATAGCTGCATAGTGTCATTGAGATTGGCAAAGCGTAAGTAGAAGCAGACACAATGTGGGCAACAGAGCACTAGAAGGCTAAGAAGACGCACCAAACCATGCTATCCAATCTTCACGCTTTTGCATCAGATGACTGCCGCCTACGCTAAAGAATTCAATAACTTTTTCTTGCCTTCCAGATTTCAAGGCATTGACAACATAATAACGTAATACTGACTGCTCCAGTTTAAGAAGCGCCGTGTAGAGTACCGTGTCCGCAGGTGAAGTGAAACACTGTTTTAAAAAGCTGAAGATGCTTAGCAGTCTATCCAGTTGGTATTTTGGTATGTACACTGAGAACACTAGATCTAGGATCTTGTCTACTTCAAAGTTCCTGCCGATCTCGGTGGACAGTTCTGCCTCGTAAGCTTGCAGCGTGTTCGTGAAACCCCTGAACACAAGAAACTCCCTCACGAGTTCTTCGGCATACTGCACATTCTCCATTTCTGTCCAGTGTTGCTGCAAATGGAAAGAAATAGTAGTTAAGAGCATAAAAGTTTAAGCATGATGAAAAGAGTAAATGTGAGAAACTGACACTAGGCCAGCAATGATCTCCACCCTACCCTAGAAAGTGTCAAGCAGGGACGGATCTAGATGGTGTGCCGGATGTGTGCACCGGCATAACCAGAAATTGTCGAGGCAAGTGGAGCTTGAGTAAACAGTTGGTGAGAACAAACTCATACCTCAAAACCTAATGGCCAAAAATTGCAGACCGGGTGGAGGTAGCAGGAACGCGATGTCGCGACGAGGAAGGGCGGTAACGGCGATGGCAGCGACGCGCGTTAGAGGCTGGGGTGTTTTGGGTGCCGCGTGGTGCTGGGGGCGAGGGGGGGAGGGGGGATGGGGGGTGGGCGTGGGGCGGAATTGAGGCGTTGGCGGTGACGCGAGGTAGCGGCGGCAGCCGTAGGGCACGCGGCGGTGGACTATCGATTGGACTGAGGAGGAAGAGCAAAGAAATGTACAGGTACGGGGGAGAGCAGTAAAGCTTGGCTCTCGAGAGCGAAAAAAAATTCTTTAAAAAGAATAAGATTTTTTTCCCCATAATCCTAATTTGTATTCTTTTCCCAAAAGAACGGAAGGCGTATACGAGTATTAACCAAATGCAAGCACTAAAACTGCTAAAACAAAAGAAAAATACAATTAAGTTTTTGGGGTGGTCTTCATCATCATCCTGCACATTCTGATGGTGTTGATGTTGTCACCCCTAGAGTTTCACGTCATTACGAAATAAGAAGCTAGTATTCACACTGGAACGTTAATTTTCTTCCTCGGCCACTCAGGCACATCCACGAATTCCAGCAAATGCAAAGTCAAATATTTTCAAGAACTTTACACATGCAGCTCTTCAAAGGTTTGAGCAAAAAATAGCTAACCTTATGAAGAATCAAGAGAGCTTCTAGAGAGGTGTGGAGACTCATATTCATAGAGTTAATATTTGCACTGATACGTTAATTGTGGTTGTTGCTACTATTAGAGAGCGACCAGGGACATGGATGTTCCACCAGAGAGTGGTGATGGTGAAGATGTGAGCATATATGAGCGTGCACCTAGAGCCACTCCATCCAGACCACCTAACGCAAGTGAGATCTACTTCAGTTCCAGCGACGACTGATGGCTCTATTTTCCGATCCATCTTAAAGCTCATTTGTTTCATAGTAACTCCATATATCATGTCATATTGAGCTATTCATACAATGTGTATGTTCATTATGTATAAATACCATTTTTTGATTCATTTTCATGCGAGCTTTCCATACTCTTTAGTTTTTGTTAGTGTTATTAGTTTTCTTTTGTTTGTTGCCTTTGTAGGTGTATTGACACTCCAATGGACTTGACACCTCACAAATGACCAACTTGGGGCCAAACCAAAGAAGTTCCAGCCATCAGATCCAGGATCTTGGGATAGTTGGACAATTTGGCATTTTCCAATGAGGCTAGATTAAAGAGCCAATAACATGGGTGTCTCGAGCTTTTTTGATACAAAATCAACGAACCCAAGAACATTAAAATCAGATTCGTATGAAGAAATGACAACCAAAATACAAAACTACACGTGCAAACTTGTGAGGGAAGATGATGCACGGTACGACCGTGTACCAACCTACCAGGGCTGCAAAATAAGTCCCTGAAATTTTTCACCGGTTCATCTAGGTTTGTTCCTACGTGGTCCTTGGAGTCCAAGGGGGTGTTGGGAGAGGATTTAGCTCCCCTGGAGCCCTTGGATGAAGGGGTAGGTGGAGGATTGATGTCACTTGAAACTACGTCGGTATTTCCCCAAAGATGACAGAATGATATAGTACAGCTACGGTAGGTATTTCCCTCAATTGTGAAACCAAAGTATCAATGCAGTAGAAGAACCAAGCAACACTATATAAACGACACCTGCACACAGAAAACAAATATTTGCAACCTGACGTGTAAGAGGGGTTGTCAATCCCTCCACGGTAAAAAGATAGATTGATTTGTGGTAGACTGGATAAATAGTTCTCGATAAAACGTGAAATAAAATAAGTAATAAAAAAGTGCAACAAGGTATTTTTAGTTTTTTGGAATAATATATCTGAAAATAAAAGCGAATAAAAATATATCTCAAAGCAACTATGATAAAAGAATAGACCCGGGGGCCGTAGATTTCATTAGTGGCTTGTCTCGAGAAATAGCATACGGTGGGTAAACAAATTATTGTTGGGAAATTGATAGAAGATCGAATATGACGATATCTAAGGCAATGATCAATATATAGGCATCACATCCAAGATTAGTAGACCGACTCCTGCCTGCATCTACTATTATCACTCCACACATCGACCACTATCCATCATGCATCTAGTGTATTAAGTTCATGGAGAAACAAAGTAATGCAATAAGAACGATGACATGATGTAGATGAGATCTATTCATGTAGGAATAACCCCCATCTTGTTATCATTAATAGCAACGATACATGCGTGTCTTGCTGCTCCTTCTGTCATTGGGAAAGAACACCGCAAGATCGAACCCATCATAAAGCACCTCTTCCCATGGCAAGAAAAATCGATCTAGTTGGCCTAACTAAACCAAATATTCGAAAAAGAAATACGAGACTATAAATAATCATGCATATAAGAGATCAAAGAAGACTCAAATAATATTCATGGATATAGATCTGATCAAAGTTCATCGGATCCCAAATACACCGCAAAAAGAGTTACATCAAATAGATCTCCAAGAGACCATTGTATTCGGAATCAAAAGAGAGAGAGGAAGCCATCTAGCTACTGCCTACGGACCCTTAGGTCTATGATGGACTACTCACGCGTCATCAGAGAGGCACCAATGAGGATGATGAACCCCTCCGTGATAGTGTTAGATTGGATCTCGTGGTTCTGAAACTTGCGGCGGCTGGAATTGTGTTTCGTTGACTCCCTTAGGGTTTCTGGAATATTTGGAAATTTATAGGGCGAAGAGGCGGTGCATGGGGGCTACGTGGGGGCACAACCACCCTGGGCGCGCCCTGGTGGGTTCTGCTCCCCACGGGCCTCCCCTCTGACGCTTTCTAGGCCCATACGGTGTCTTTTGGTCTAGAAAAAATCTCCAAAAAGTTTCGCTCTGTTTGGACTCTGTTTGGTACGGATACTCTGCGAAGTAAAAAAAGCAAAAAATAGCAACTGGCATTGGACACTATGTCAATAGGTTAGTCCCCCAAAAGGATATAAAGTTGGTATAAAATTATTGTAAAACATTCAAGAATGATAATATAATAGCATGGAACAACCAAAAATTATAGATACGTTGGAGACGTATCAGCATCCCCAAGCTTAATTCCTACTCGTTCCCGAGTAGGTAAATGATAAAAATAGAACTTTTGATGTGAAATGTACCCTAACATGTTCATCACACATTCCTTTCTTTTGTAGCATGGACATTTGGACTTTTATATGGTTCAAAGCCATAGTCTAGTTTTGGCATGAAGATTTCAATACTCAAGCATATAAATAAGCAATTATGTCTTTCAAAATATCAACACTAAAGAATATTATCCCTAACTCGTCATGCTCAATCATTAATCCATTCATGAAACACATATTAGCTACATCCAATGCTCAAGTATGATCATAGTGCTCCCTAGTTGGTGTTTTATAAGAGAAGATGGAGACTCAGATAAAAATAAAAAATGCATAAAGTAAATAGATAGGACCTTTGCAGAGGGAAGTAGGGATTTGTAAAGGTGTCAGAGCTCAAAGCAAAAATTGAGAGATAAAAAATTTGAGAGGCACACTTTTCCCGTCAATGAAAACGAGTGAGTAATTCCCAACACTTTCCCTGCTAGATATATCATAGGCAGTTCCCAAACATAAAATAAAATTTGTTCCTTTTCCACCATTCTTTCATAATCCATGGCTAGTTGTATCCATGGATGTCTTCCGTACCAATACTTTCCAAATAATTTATTATTTAACAACTGATAACCCACAAGTATAGGGGGTCGCAACAGTTTTCGAGGGTAGAGTATTCAACCCAAATTTATACATTCGACACAAGGGGAGCCAAAGAATATTTGAATGTATTAGTAGCTGAGTTGTCAATTCAACCACACATGAAGATTAATTATCTGCAGCAACATGATCGATAGCAAAGTAATATGATAGTTCTAATAGTAGTGACAACAGTAATAGTAACAGTAACAGTGATAGCAGTATTTTTGTAGCAAGTGCAACAGTAACGATAGCAGTGGTAACTTAGTAAGAACAATATAAGATAAATTCGTATGCATTGGATTGGTAATTTGTTGGATGATATTCATCATGTGACAGTCATAACCTAGGGCGATACGACACTAGCTCCAGTTCATAAATATAATGTAGGCATGTATTCCGTAAATAGTCATATGTGCTTATGAAAAGAACTTGCATGACATCTTTTGTCCTACCCTCCTGTGGCAGCAGGGTCCAATTGGAAACTAAGGGATATTAAGGCCTCCTTTTAATAGAAAACCGGAACAGAGCATTAACACAGGGTGAATACATGAACTCCTCAAACTACGGTCATCACCGGGAGTGGTCCCGACTATTGTCACTCCGGGGTCGCCGAATCATAACACGTAGTAGGTGACTATAACTTGCAAGATCGGATCTAGAACATAGATATAATGGTGATAACATAAACAGTTCAGATCTGAAATCATGGCACCCGGGCCCAAAGTGACAAGCATTAAGCATGGCAAAGTCATAGCAATATCAATCTCAGAACATAGTGGATGCTAGGTATCAGGCCATAACAAAACTAACTAGATTACATGATGAATCTCATCCAACTCCTCATCGCCCAGCGATCCTATGAAGGAATTACTTACTCCCGGTGGGGAGCATCATGGAATTGGCAATGGAGAAGGGTTGATGATGACGAAGAACGAAGATTCCCCTCTCCGGAGCCCCAAACGGACTCTAGATCTGGCCTCCCAATGA